TTTGGATAAAACCTTTCCCATTAACATGAGTGTAGAGGATGTTCTTGCATTAAAAGTGAATACTGATCTCAGCGATAAACAATATCAAATGATCAGAAACTCAGCTCTTGTACACAACGTACATATTTATCCTACCTTGCACAATATTTTCGTGGAAAAATTGAAATGCTATCCTGAGAATATACATTTTTCTGAAATTTCTGCAAAGTGTACTCTTCAAAGCATATTAGATCACACTGTGAGTAGAAAAGCAGAAATGATTGATATGCCTAATTTTGGTCAAAGTGATGAAATATTTGGAGTTTTATATGGAAAGATTGGTTTTGATGGAGCATCAAGCCAAAGTATTTATAAACAGAAATACGATACAAGCAACGCAAGTATAGAACTTAAGCATGAAGAAAATACGTTGATAAGCATGAAGCCTATACGTTGAAATACCAAAAACTGGGCCTGGAAACACGAATGACGGCAACACTGCCAGAAGACCATTTAAAAATACTGAAGTTTTTTCTGAAATTACTAAAGTTGATTGTGATATAATTAAATTATATTACAAATTAGATTGCATAATATTCTCATAACCATATCTTGTGGATATCCTATTAATATCAATGAATTAGATTTATACTGCACTGAAACAGCTAAACATATAGTGAGTTTATACAACTGGTATGTTATGCCTCCTACTGTACATAAACTGCTACTGCATAGTTCTTCTATATGAAATAAATTACCTTTGCCAATCGGGGTTTATTCGGAAGATGCACTAGAAAGTTTAAATAAACTGATAAGAAATTCTAGACTTAAGTACACGGCAAAAGTATCAAGGCTAAACACAATGATGAATCAGATGCACTACCTTCTAGTAAGATCAGATCCAAAAATATCAAGCATATCTTTTAGAAAGCATAAGAGCTATAGAGGAAAACCGTTACCAGATGAAGTTTTTAAATTAATTGTAATGTAAATAATAAATTTAATGTAAAGAAATAAAGTATTTTTTCTCTATGTATCAACATCCTTTAAAAACCATTTTTATAAAAATATCAAGTAGAGTAATATATCAAAATTATGTGTTTGTCTTGAAGATTCTAAAAACTAAAATAAAAAAAAAAAATTTGTACGCGTAAAGAAATAAAGTATTTTTTCTCTATGTATCAACATCCTTTAAAAACCATTTTTATAAAAATATCAAGTAGAGTAATATATCAAAATTATGTGTTTGTCTTGAAGATTCTAAAAACTAAAATAAAAAAAAAAAATTTGTACGCGTATAGTCACGCGTATAGTTAACACGCGTAAGCGTGCATTTTACGCGTCGAAGCTGCGCGTTAAAAAAAAAATTGATATCTTTGACTTAAAAATTGTTATTTTAACATATAACATTATTTATTTACGATTTATGTCAAATTTTATTTAATTTTTGCCGTTTTTTGATTGTCCTGAGTCACTGTGCGTCGTTTGGCGAAAATGTTTGTTTCGCAAGTTCGACTTCCGAAACCGCTACTTTCGTATGTTGCAAAATAGTTTTGTTTCGTATGTCAACTTGCGAAATGCGAAATTTCAAAGTAGCTTTTGCGAAATGAACATCGGCGATTTTTAATGTTTTGTAACATTCGCACAGTGGGCCAGAATTTTTTTTCCGTGGCCAAAAGTCCCAAAAAAGTCAAATCTTCTAAACTTTTTTTTTATTTTATTATTGAAACATAAGTGCTTTACTTTACTCAAAAATGTATCCGTTTTATTACTAAAGATGAAAGCAAGCTTGCTAGAACCATTCATAATGGCTTTAAAATTGTCAAATTTTCGGAATTTTTTTTTTTTAAAAATACTTATCCTCAAAATTTACATAACTTTTTTCAATTGAAAAAGCTTTGGACTTTTTTAATTTAAGTAAACATATTAACTTAGTTTTAATAAAAAGTAAATGTTTTAGTTATATATTTGTATTTAATTTATTTATAATATGTCTTAGAATTGTTGGTATTTTAAAGGAGTTTTTCTAAATTTTCTCGTCTTCCTTTTTCTAAATGCCACTCGAAGATTGTTTGATTTTCTGATTTTTGCAGTTACAAAACGGCAGTTATTGTTCAAAAAAAAGAACCAGCTGCGACTATGTATTCTTTATGATATATTTTTAAGTTCAAAATCGACGACTTTTTTTGCTTTTATAAAAAGACCAATTTAAAGTTAAGATATAGTTAAAGTTAAGATATATTTAATCTATCATTTTGCTTCGCAACTTCTTCTTAACATTTTCTTACAACTTTATAGGCACTTTAGTAAAGAAAAGTTTTGTTTCTTGTAACGTTTCAGTATTATTATATTGGAGTTCCTTTTTGAAATTTAGCCAGTTAAGTGAAATTCAACCAAATTTCTCACAGGGCAAATTCACGTAATAGAGCTTTTGGTTTGGCAATAATAAATTAACGTAATAAAGCCTTCAGTTAAATAAAAGTTTATTCAGATAGGATGGTCTAGCAGAGGAACAGCAATAACCAATTTAAAATAGTTTGCACTTTTTAGGCTTGTTTAAAGCATATTTGAAGGAGCTGATTAACAATATTTCTAAGTGAAGAGACTATATCTTTTAACGCTTGAATAAGATTCAAAATGTTAACTCTTGCTTGCTCATTCCTGTAATTAAGATTCCAGAGTGCCACGAAAAACATTTGATTTTGACAAAAAACACGTAGTTTTCATGAACTTTTTATATCTTTTTTTTTTGATAAAGTTAGAGCATTGAGGTTTTTTGTATCAATTAGTTTGACTCAATTTCTTTCCAATCCAATGTAAAAAGTACTATGTTAAATATGGGTTCTTTTATATATTATTCATGTCTTAAGACCATTATTGATAAAAAAATTCGCCCCGGGACACGTTTTTTCAAAAGTAGTTTTTGAAGGTAAGATTTCCTAAGCACCAAATCACATCTAATTTGTATGAAACTTTCCATATATATTAAAAAAGGGACGAAGAATTTAATAGAATGTGGACTTTTGCATACATAATTTTTTAGTTCTCAGTGTTTAAAAGCTTTAAGGTCAATTTATATAGAAAAAACAGTGTTTTATGAAAGAGTCCATGTGGAAACGGCAATTATAGCCTTTCCTCAATTTAAAACAAGTATTTATTTATGTTTTCTTGAAGAAATGGTACTAAAATAATTTTCTGGAATGATTAAGAGTTATATCCAAAACATATCTTACTATGAGTAATAGAAGCAGTTGCAGAGGTTAAATGTTCCATTGATATTTAAAGACCTTGTTCACGAAAAAAACCCACATAAAAACATTTGTATTGTATTCATGCCATGATTTCACAATTCATAACATCCGAATAAAAATCAGTAATAGCTTTTATTAAAACACTAAATAACCAAAGTTCTAAATATTTTCTTTCATTACTTTAAAAATAACTAAAAAATTATTTTAGTTATTTTTAAAATAATGAAAGAAAATATTTAAATAATGAAGTTTTTTATAACAAAATAAAATAAAGTCAATTTAAGTTTCTAATTATGTTGTATAACTCAAAAGTTAGTTTAACCTCCGTCAAAATACTGAGTTTTTTAAATAGTCGCAAAATTATGAAATCGAAATACTATTTTGTTTTCCGGTTTTTAATTTCTTTCCATCCGTTTATATAATTAACCGTGCATAATTTGTTTAGTTCTTGCTGTAGCTTAGTTTTAAAAGTTATAAAATATAATAATAGTTATATAATAAAACTTTTTTTTTTCAACAATATATTCAAAATAAATATTTTGTTGAAAAAACAAAACGCTCCCTGTTAGTTTATGTGAAGACTATGAAGTAATATAAAATTGTTTCGAACTACTAAATATGGGAATCGTTTGACCTTTACTTGTGAAAATGATCTTTTTTCTGATCATGACATGTTTTTTTATTATAAGAAATTGTTCTATAAGCGTTATATAAGCAATAGTTATAAAAAGGAAACACATGTTCAGAAGCTGGCGTAGTTGATGGTTTGGTTGTAAAATTAGCGTAAGGTGGGTATGTAAAATTAGGGTAGGGTGTTAGCTTTACCAGCCTTAACTATTAATTTACTATGTTATATCTGAAGTAGATGAAAAAACAATGGAACTAAAAAGTATTCTCCAAAAAACTTTTCTTTATAAAATAATACAATTTATCAACAAACAGGATAACAGAAAACTTCTGTTACCCTGTTACCTTTTGCTGTCAAGAAAACTTCCTTTATGCTATACTACTAGATGATAAATTGTAAATATTCGTTCTCTTAATCTAACTCTGTAAATTAGGAAAATTGATTTCAAGCTTAAAACTAAACCTTAGGCAATCAAGCCTATGATCTTTATATCTGATCTTTGGACTTTGGATGAATTGAGGTTTCTTTAATAAAGCCTGAGCCTCTTATTTCAGTTTTTGTTTCGTTAAATGAGTAACTACAAGCTATTCAAATTGGTAATAAACTTTTTCTTACTGATCCGCTGAATAATTCCAAACTGGTAGAAAGAGCTGTAAAACTTATAAGATTCTAAAGAATTTTATGGACGAGTGGAAAGACTTCAATTTGGCTAAAACCAAAGCAGAACCAAAAACAAGAGAAATGCAAAAACGTCAGATGTATATATTCTATACTTTCTTTAGACTAATATTACAAACTTGTATCTTACAAATATTGAAATCAAAAATCATTTTTCTAAGACTTAGACAACTGAGACATATATATATATATATATATATATATATATATATATATATATATATATATATATCTATATATATATATATATATATATATATATTTATATATATATTATATATATATATATATATATATCTATATATCTATATATATATATATATATATATATATATATATATATATATATATATATATATATATATATATTATATATATATATATATATATATATATATATATATATATATATATATATATATATATATATATATATATATATAATATTAGTTTTAATTGTTACATATTTTAATTTTTAAAGTTTGTCTTTTTACCTGTTCCTTGATTAATCTGACTCGATAACAATATAAAATAGGATTTACTAGCGATTTTATACATATCATTGGGTATGACCATATAAAAGCTACATGTATCCATTGAACCTTTTTAATACTTGGATTAATCCTCCGCGTAGCCGTAACAATTACATAAGGAGTGTAGCAGAGGTAAAAAGACGCTAATAAAAAAAACGTCAAGTAACTTATGTTAATTTGCTTTAACTTTTCCTTGCTGTTTTTCATTTCACTTGGTAACTCAAAATGAGAACATTTTTTTTTATGAAAAACAGAACATATTACTGCATTTGAATTAATCAAACAAGAAACTGTAGATAGAATGAAGTTATTTTTATTTTCACTGTTGGACGTTGGTAGCGAACAGCTACTTATACTTCGTTTTCTCGTATTTTTTCTTGATATATTTTTCACTTTATATAAAATTTTAAAATGAGAATAAACACCGTGAAGCATGAAAGGTGGTAAAGATACTAATATTATATCTTGAAATATTTGTTTTTCAGGAGTTACAAAACTTGCTACGTTTAGAATTAGTACCACAAAGGATAACGCTACCATTATAGGAACGTAGTATATTAGGTTTCCACTTACTCGGTGTTTGTAAAAAAACGGTTTAAACAGAGCTAAATATCGGTCAAGTGAAATAATATTCACTAGTAGAAACGATAAAAAAGACAAAGCATGAGAAGCAAACACAGCAGATAAATATATTACGCAGTAATGTTTTTTTTGCAGACCAAATAACCAAGTTAAAATCCAAAGGAGCATGCTAATAATGGCACTTAGAAAATCACATACTGCAGTACTTGCAATTAATACATTTGATGGTGTAAACAGCTTTTTTGTTTTAACAATAACAACAAATGCAATCAAATTTAAAAAAACTGTTGGTATAATTAAAAGAACTACTAATAATGATGCAACGTAGATAGAAACTTTGCATTCATTGCACAATGGAATGACATGTATAGCTCCACTGCATATTATTGTATATGCCTCATAACCAGAATGGTTTGATGGGGTAGTTTGGTTCATCAATTTTATTCACTTTGTCGGATTAAATCTAAATATATATATATATATATATATATATATATATATATATATATATATATATATATATATATATATATATATATATATATATATATATATATATATAACAATGTAACTAAAACTCATTTAAACGAAAGGTTAAAAAAATAATATTTACAACTGATGATTTATTAATATACTTTTAAATTTTTTTGTATTCTCCTTTTTACCTTAGTTTAATCAAAGAATTTAAAAATATATATATATATATACCAAGAGTTTCATGCAATTTTTTTGGACGTATAGTATATAAAATAATTTATATACTTACAACAAACTTTTCTGTAAATAATAAAAAAAAGCATTTGTAATTATCTTGTCTATCTTTTACCAAAATACGAAAAATTATCACGTTTATGTTAGCGGTTCTCGACGACAAGATTATACAGTTTTCTACGACTCCCCACGAAATTTTATTTTTTAATAACAATCTATTTTTGTAATTTTATTATTTTCATTTACTTTTTATAACGTGGTTTAAAATACAATAAAGAACAAATATATGTATATATATATATATATATATATATATATATATATATATATATATATATATATATATATATATATATATATATATATATATATACAGTTTTAAAAATGTATTCTACAAAATAGAGTGCTCAATGTTCTTAAAAGAACAGAGAAATTATAAATTAGTAGAAAATCACAAAATTTTTTTTTCATTTTACACTGTGTTTTATCAACAAAGACTCATTAGAAATGCATTTCTGATGAGTTTTTGTTGATGAAACACAGTTTAAAATGAAAAAAAGTTTTTGTTAAGTGATTTTCTACTAATTTATATATATATATATATATATATATATATATATATATATATATATATATATATATATATATATATATATATATATATATATATATATATATATATATATATATATATATGTATATATATGTATATATATATATATATATATATATATATATATATATATATGTACAATGTATATATATATGTATATATATATATACAAATGTAACTAGCGGAGATATATATATATATAGAGAGAGAGAGAGAGAGATAACTGTAGGGGAGATATATATTCATATATAACTATTCATATTCAAATTTATAAAACAATAAATTTAATTTTTAAATAAACATCTGTATTCTCCATATAATTTTACAATCTTTCTTTCTTTAAATATATAAAAAAAAGCATTTTCGCAGTTCAGAGAAATTCAGCATCATTTTGTATTTACGGATTTTAATTAAAAAAATTTTCTACTTTTAATAGAATGATTATATGGTACCTTATCCTAAGAGGATTTTTATATGTTAAGATAACAAGTTTATAGTTAAATAATTATGTGGCAACATAGTTTAAATAAACAGTAAAACAATTAATACAGTAAAGTACAAAAATTAAGCAATATTAAGCTATATATATATATATATATATATATATATATATATATATATATATATATATATATATATATATATATATATATATATATATATATATATATATATATATATATATATATATATATATATATGTATATATATATATATATATATATATATATATATATATATAAAAGAATAACACGTGTCAAATATATATATATATATATATATATATATATATATATATATATATATATATATATATATATATATATATATATATATATATATATATATAAAAGAATAACACGTGTCAAATATATATATATATATATATATATATATATATATATATATATATATATATATATATATATATATATATATATATATATATATATGTATATATATATATATATATATATATATATATATATATATATATATATATACATTTGACTTGAAATTTAAAAAATATGTGAAAAAATAAAATGTAAACAGAATGCGTAAGTCCCATCCAACCCATAATATGGGTTGAATGGTCTAATGATTTATCTGTAATTATCAGTTTTTGGAAAATAAGATGTAATTCTTTATATACTAAAATTAGAAAAAACTGCAAAATTCAATAATTGTTTAAACAGTTTATTTTATTCTCTGTTGTTATTATTTATTTTAAATTTATTTCAGTTCTAACCTCCGTTACTTTTACAAATCCTGCTCTTTCACATATTTATTATCATTATTTCTCACAATTTTTTTAGATTTTTTAATAGCCTATTGCTCAAATGCTACTTCAATACCAGACTAGTTCGTTTTTAAAATGCCTGTCAAGTCAGTTTTCAAAAATCTTTTTTAAGTTTTATATTTTGCCATGTTTAACACTTTAGTATAAAGTATTAATTTTAAAAATATTAACCAACAATTAATATTTAATATTCTAATAATTTAAGTAAATATTTTGCAAAAATGTTGTACACATTAAATATTAAGTTTGCACAATTTTGTTTATTTACTTATTTCACAGCTTTTCAAATTCATCTAAGAAGTGTAACACCTGATTGGATATCGGACTTGTGCCTTTGAATTACGTAGTATATCTTTGAATTCAGTCATGTTTGCAGATGATACAAATTTGTTTACTACTAATAATGATGTCAAAAAATCATATCCAGATATGAATATTGAGCTAAATAAATGAATAGTTGGTTTAGAGCTAGCAAACTTTCACTTAATGTTGAGAAAACTAACTATATAACATTTCATAAAAAAAATAAGGAGGAAACCTTCCTCTTAAGTTGCCAGATTGTCCAAACTTCAACAATTTCAACTTCGGCACCAAAGTCGGCTTCGACTTTGCTGCTGAAGTTGAAATAGAAAATTGGCTTTCGGTAACAATTTCAAAATTTCATTTAACTTTAAGTTAAATTCGAAAGCTATAAAGTTTTTTTCAATTTATAAAGAAGAATAGTTATGAAATTTATTATATGTTTTATGTATATCAACCTGTATCTATTGGTTACAACCCTCTTCCAACTCTTTAACTCCGAAAAGTGTTTCGGATATGAAAAAAAAGTGTTTTGAATTATGGTTAACTACAAGCTAAAAAATAAAATTTTTAGTTTATACAAAATGATTATACAGCAACCGCGGCGCAGTGGTTAGAGTGCGGCGCAGTGGTTAGAGTGCTTGCTTTAGAAGCAAGAGACCTAAGATTCGAAGCAAGCGCTGGGCATATTTCGCACCATCGGTAAGGAAGGAGGTTTGAACTTCCTAGTTTAATACTTTTCTGATGTATTCCGTGGCAAAACTGTTAGGTTTTCTTAGAACAAGTAAAACAAAAAACAAAAAGCAACAAATAAGATTTTTTTATAGAACTTATTAAAAGTTCTTAAAAAATTTCTCTTAATTATATGTTTTTAAAATACAAATTCGGTATTCAGTTAAATTCGGTTTAGAAGTCAAATTTGTCTTTCAGTTAAATTTGGTATACGCGAATGATCTAAAATCGCCTTTCATTTAAATTCGAGTCTTAAAAAGTGGTCCTTACTCTGCATCAATTATTTAATGCATCATATTTAATTGATCGTCAAAAATATTTTGTGGCGAACAGACGTGTTTTATTCAGAGGAATCAATTACTTTTTGTAACTTTTTTTTTTTTTTTTTTTTTTGTAATAACAAAAAATAAACTTATTAAATGGACAAAAAAAATATCGTTGTTTGAAATCTAACGAAACGGGGAATATAGATGAAACACAAATTCCAATAAATGTTGTTTGAGATATTTTTCGTGAAATGTTTTCAAAACAGCAGAAAGATATTATTAAGCTTAAAAGTGGTAACCTAAAAATAACTAACGATAAAATAAACGAGCTACTTGATGAAATACATAAATCGAAACAAATTTGCGACTCATTAAAAAAAGAAAACGAAAAAGTAAACATGAAACTTAAAGAAATTAAGGAGAAAGTAAGTATCTTAGAAAAGACAAATAAAGATATCGAAGAAAGCTTAACAGTTACACAAGACATCTAAGAAAAAAGGTATGCGAATTAGAAAAGAAAATTAAAAAAAAAAATATTATAGGCGAGGAGGAAAAGAATAAACTACGACAGCTAGAAGATAGACTTAGAAGGAATAATCTTCGCATCGGCGGGCTTCCCGAAAACGATCAAGAAACCTGGGATGAAACTGAAAAAAAAATTATTAATTTTATTTGAAAACGAATTAAATATTAAGAACGTTGATTTCAAGAGGGCTCACAGAGTTGGAAAAAAGAAGAAAATAAAATCAGAACAATTGTTGTTAAAATATTACATTACAAAGGCAAAATAAAAGTACTAAATATTAGGGCTGTACCGAATTTCGGCTCCGGCTCCTGCTCCGGCCGAAATTCGGCCATTTTTACAAATCCGGCCCAAATCCGGCTCCGGCAAAATGTTAGCAAATCCGGATTTCTGGATGTTTATTACATCTTTTTTACCCGTGATAACATGTATACATAATACTTAATATTTGAACTTAATGTTTGTTTTAGTATCTTTATTTACATTTTTTTTTATAATTTAATTAGCTAAACCTAATTTCAAACAAGAACGCAATAAAAAATTCTGAAGAGAAGACACACGATATTCTGCAATAATGCAGGTGTAAAGACTATGAAGTCAATCCTAATCAACTCATTAGATGAGCGTTTCAAAGGCATTGAGGAGAAACCTTTTTAGATTGAAAAAAATAAAGAAAATCCAGCAAAACAATCCCGGCTGGATAATTCTTATACATTATCATCATTACAATGGCAATATATATAGATGAAATTATTGAGTCTACGTCCGCTTGTGGCACAGCACATGAACAACAATTACCAACAGGCATTGACACTCAGCTAAGCCAATATCTGGAAGAATCAGAAATATATAGACACGCTGATTCACTACAGTGGCGGAGTGACAACATCCCGGGAAAAAAAGTTCTGTAGAACTTCTCTAAATTTTTGAAACATATGGCCTATAGAAACTCTATAAAATTTATATAAAATGTCTATTAATTTCTATAGAAATTTCTATAAAACTTTTAAACATTAAAA